GTTGTTGCAACTTCCATGCTTTTAAGCTGTGAAAGATCAGTTGCCGCGAAGGAGACGAGGACTATTACGCCTGGCAGGGCGCCACCAAGTTGAAGCAAGCCACCGAAATCAGCATCCTGTGCCAGAAGGGCCAGAAGTCCGCCTCGGACCCCACACCCAACCAGGACAACTTCTTCGTCCAGCACGTGGGTGCCATCACCTTGTACGGAGTCTGTGACGGGCATGGGCCCTTCGGCCACCTGGTGTCCTTCCGCCTGGTTCAGACGCTGCCGTGCTTCTTGCAGAAGAGCGAGCATTTCGGGAAGAATTGGGAGGAGGCGCTCAAGGAGGCCTTTGCAAAGGCACAGGAAGATCTGGAGGAGTTCTGCTACTTGCCTGGGTGCAAAGCATGTTGCAAGGCAAAAACAATCCTCGGCTTGAATGGTCATATCTAGCCTGGGAGAAAGAGACAGCCCTTGTAGTGTAACTTTATTTCGGTGAAGCGGGGTTGCTTCCCACAAGGGCCCGTGCTTCTGTTCACCCCGTGGCCGAGGCGGACTGCACAAGATCAACATCGAAGCTTCTGGCGCAGCCGGGTCCGTGCTGGTGCTGGAAGAACAAACAGCGCCTTGCAGGAATCAATTCTTATCAACCCTGTGAATTTGGCGCTCATCTTGTGCACAACATTTGTCTCACAACACCTTGTTGAAGACAAGTCGGGTGTTTGGCTCGGCCCTCAACTCGGTTTCCGGCCCCCAATCTAGCACCTTTCAACCTCGGGTATTGTCCCACCTCGTTTCATCTTCATTTCCGCTTTCATGTCGGTCGTGCGCTCTTTGCAATTCTTGCATTTTGTGGGACGTTTTCAGGTCCACATTGCGTTCATTGGAGATGCACGCATCCTATTGGGCTCGTGGAACCGCAGAGACTCCCGGATGATCTTTTGCACGAAGGACCGAACCTGCGAAGGAGAAGCGGGACAGGTGAGATGCAACACCTTCATTGAAAGGCCACCAGGTGTTAAAGCACAATATCACTGCGCACAGGGGAGGCACGACATTTGGGCAGCAGATATGATACGACCAGCTTGTCGGGCTGACCTTTGCGAGTCCGGCACTGGCAGGGCCAAACAGGTCCTAGTTCTTGGCACGCCGTTTTCCGCATCCTCGATTTGGGCGCCTATATTGCTGTGTCTTTCGCTGAGGGGAGCCTTGTTGTAGGGAAGCCAAAGCGAAGCCAAGGGAAACCGACGCCCATTTTGGGTTCGCATGGGATGCAATGCGCATTGGGGCGCCGTGCCAGGACCACAAGCCGGAGCTGCCCGAGGAAAAGGCGCGCCTCGAGGCGGCCGGCAGCGAGGTGCGGGAGATTGACGAGGGCAGCTGGCGGATCTATTTGAAGGGCCCGGAGCCCGGAAGAAAATTTAACATACCTGAAAAAGCTTGCCATTATTGGGCATTCCTTGACAACACAATATACAATATCCTACCTAAAAGGTGTGGAGTTGTGGCGGCGCGGGTTTCTTTGGAGTTGAGGCCCACACTTGCACAGATACCTTTTCGGGATAGCAATGGGAGTTCCGGGTCGACTGAGGCTCAAACTTCCCGGGCTTGACGATGTCTCGGGCATTCGGTGACACAGCGTGTGCGGGCGGCTCAGTGACTCAGTGGCTTGCACGGCGCCAAACCGCCAGCCGTGGGAAAATGAATCAGCCCGGGGCTAGCCCAAGGCTGGCATCTCTAGGGTGCCCGAGTACCACAAATTCTTGATGCAGCCGACCGATCAGTGGTATGCCATCGTGGCCTCCGATGGCATTTGGGAATCTTGGGCCATATATTTGGGGGTTCCAGACCCGTGAGACTCGCATTCCACCTGCTAGTCATCTTCTCGCACCGCCATATGCCAAGGAGTTCATCGAGGGTGAAGATTGTTGCAACATGACCTCGAAGAAGCTGCGTTTGAAGGGCACCCGTGAGACTGCATCTTGGCTGCACTTTCTCTGTGAATGTTCAACCGTTCAACCACCAGCACCTTAGCACCTTCGGTGTGTGACTTTCGGGTGCTCGGCAGGTTGAGTTCATCACCAGCGCCAGTCGGAAGCGTTGGGCCCATGTCTGCGGGGACTACTGCGATGACATCACGGCCCTGCTCATCCAGTGGAACTCAACGGCTGCCCAGGAAGGTTTCTGGCCTTCATGGCATGATTTTAGCATTGGTCTAGTCAGTTGGTTGAGTATTGCTGTAAAGTGCCCCCTAATGCCGCTGGAGTTGGGGCAGGAAATTCTCAGGCTTAGAATTGATTTGATATTTGCTAATTCTAGTAGAGTAATGGGATATTTTGGGCAAGGGAAAAGTCACATTGATTACTTGGGTGGGTTGTGCGATTCACTGCTTTTTTTGTTTTGGTTTCTTTCGGCTACATAGGTGGATTCAGGTGTCCGCATGTTCACGCTCTGTGTGCGTGTGCATGTGTGTGGGTGGGATGGAGCCGAGTGCCTTGCCAAGGTTCAAACAATCACTCGCTGTCGGTTCGGCAATTCAGCCCACCATCTTGAGACTTGAGTCCAAATGGGGCTTGCAATGATCTCACTTGCTCCTTGGCGGCAATTGTCATAATATCAGCGATTGGCCTACAGCCTGTCTGCAAGCAGCGTGTGCTGCTCGTCCCAGGACTGCTTCGCCTTGCTCACCGCCAAGCGGCAGAGCACGTGGAGCTGCATGGTCGGCCAATCGGCTGCAGGCAGAATCGCTTGGTGGAATTGAGGGGGTGGGGCTGTCGTGAATGAAGTGTTCCCACGGCAAAGGCCTGACTCAACAGAGAAGCAATGATTAGTCGTTAAATCAAGATGTTAGGGAGCTCATCCCAGGGCTTTGTGTGTGTGTGTGTGGATGGCCGTATGCATTCAGCCAATGACAATTGCGTCAAGACTCATGAACAATCCACCAATGTAGGTCAGCAAAGAGGGTCACCAGAGATCCACGCACCTGCCTTGCGAACCCAACTTGAAATCTATCCCGAAACGCTCCAAACCAACCCTGCCTGAACCATTTCTACAAAAGCATCCCTAAACTACCCACAATCCCACCCGAAACCAACCCCAACCGCCAATCATATCCTTTACGTTGAGGGCATGGGTTTGTCCTGTTTTCTCTCTAAGGCTCCGCTCTTTGTATATGTTGGGCACGCGAGGGCCTCAGGACATAGCTGTGATGTGGTGACCAGAACAAATTGACAAAGCGCCTCCCCGTGGGTAGCGCTTTGACTTTGCCAGTTGCTGAGGTTAAGTGCCCGAGCACATCTCTGCCAGAAATCTGTGGCGGAGAAGTGAGTGTAGGTCTAGTGAGTCTTGGATGGCTGCACCACCTGAAGCACACCCAAATTCGCAGACCCTAAGCCAACACTCAATCAACCAATCAACTTCAGCGAGCCTTCCACCCGGACCTTGATGTCCACTTCTGAAAGCCAGAGGTGCAAGGTGACACGTGAGTTTTCCCACTTGGGCTTGCAGGGTAGCCTTCGCACCCTGCAAGGCCCGGAGCAAAGCCGCTGATCGCCTTCGCTCTGGGGTCCTTGGATTTCACCAAAGCAAAAATGCACACGTCGCTGAAGGACAAGGAACCCGGCTGGCATTCCCTGATCAGAGTTTGTGTAATTGTATGCCCAATTGGGCCACAGAACTCTGCTTCAACGAATTCTGCTGAACTGACCCGACCTTCGCGCGACAAAAGGCACCCGTGCTGTGTGCTGTCAAGCCCCGCCATTAGAGGCAAGTGTTTGGTGCATATCTCCCCATTCTTTGATTTCTTTCCGCATGCCCACGGCCCTCAGGCGCCAGTTTCGTCAGCAGCTGCTGCGGCTCAGGGCGCAAGGCGGCACACGCTTGGGCGCCCAGATCCACAGAGCAGAGCCAAGGGACGTGATGACCGGCTCAAAGCTGTCGCGCTTGCCTGGTGGGCTACCACAGATCTGCTTTCAGCTGAGGTTGGCCGCCCACGGCAAATGTGACGGAGTCAGAAGCATCGGAGATCCTGGGCAAGGCAAGGGCCTGGAAGTACGAAGATATTGGATGGGGGCCTAGTTTATTTTGTTGCTCTGACTGACATCGACGGGTGTGCAGGGAAATCGCCAGCAATTACGCATGCCTTTTGCGAAGGCCTTGGCCCACACAGCTACGTACCGAAATCACCAGAGGCGGGCTTGATGGGGTGGTTTGGACTTCCTAGGGCTTCACCTCGCAGCCCGGGCCAAGCTCTAGGCCTTGCATATTTGGAAAAACGGGGGAGGCTGAACATGGCCCGCACACGTTGCCGCAAACTTACGGGCCACGGATCGCCGGTGTCTCCTTGGCTTCACCTCAGGCTGTCCGAGTACCTCATGCGCTAGGGCGCTAGGCTGGCCGGCGCTTCAAAACCACAGTGAAGCCAGCAATCAGACTACCAAGCCGATAACCGTGAATAGGGGCAAACCTGCAGCGTGACAACACGTGCCAGGCGCCGCGCTGTTGGGGCGATGACTGCGGACAGTGGAAAAAGAGACGAATGAGTCAACCAATAGCTTATGCATTCGAGAAAGAATAGCTTCATTCGCCTCACCAGGCTGCAGACTAAGCGGGTGGCTGCATGGTTCGGACATAAGTTTTGGCTTGATCCTCCAGTTTTAAAGCCTGTGTTGCAGTCATGTACTGGATTTGGTTGAATGTCTTGGTTTGAGAATGTTTCAGATGAGATGACCTTTGATGGGCATATATGGGCAGAATCGCCTCAGCCCTGAGATGCGCCTTTCAACTCTCTGGCCTCCACATACAAAATGTAAGGGAGTTGCTTGTGCTTACAACGCCCAAGGCACACGCCATGTAAACGTTAGCACCCAAAACCGTACCAATCCCAAGCTCTCTCTCCCTCCCTCTTAGGGAGTGTGGCACTCTATGCTTCACATGTGATGCAACCTGGCTCCTGTTCATACGGAGCCAGCATAACATGACCACAGCACTTGAAGGTTCCATGTCATGGGCCGTTGCCAGGAAGCCCCCAAGGGTGCGGGGCCCAAGGTATGCATGACCTTGAGCGAAGGTATGCTTCCAGAGGCGCTTGGGCACGCCCAACAAACACTTGCAATTCTTGTAAGAGCTTGAGCGAGAGCTAAATATAGGCTGGTGCACCCTGCCTGTCCTTAACTTAGCATTTGGCCCACTTCCGGGAGATGCAGTTCTTCTGGTGGGAGAGCTGGATTCTGATGGCCTGATGCAGGTGCTCGTTTCATATTTTACAAGCTCCCCCAGCATCTTGGATGATCTCGGACTATATCTTCATCTAACTTCAAGAAATAGGGTGTTTGGGACTGAACTGCCCGGATTCTGACCAATCCTAGCTCAAGCCAACGATTCTGGAGTATTTCTTGCCAAAACGCAATTCTTGCCGATTGGCCCATTTTGTGTGCTGAGGCACCCCTTCCCTCGGGCCCAGAGCGAGAGCAGCGTCGCGTGGGGGCCTTTGCAGCTAAGACTCAACCGCCTCTTCAGTCACGCTTACGCTTAGATGAATTGGGCCTATCTTTTCCCTGTCACGCTTGAATTGTGTTTCGCTGGCAGAAAAAAGCGACATGCTTCAGCATGCAGCGACGCGAATGGAGAACAGCAAAGCTAGTTTCACCAACTTCTACCTGTCAAGGCAGATGAGGAGGCAAGCAAGAAGCCGGGCTCCTACATGGAAGCTTGCGTGATAAGTGAGTTTGGCATTGCTTAATCTCACACCACTTAGACACTTAGTGCTTCCGCGCATTGTGCTATGTTGACAAGTAAGGCTGGCTGAGCTTTTGAAGGGGCAAGGGCTGACTTGACAAGCTTGGCCCCGTTCTGCCTTGGCGTTGCTGCATCTCCGTGAGGCCGCGCGCGCCAGTGGAGTGCGCTCGGAGCATGGGGTTCATAGGGTAGGTCTTCATCGGCCCAAGCCCCCTGCAATCGACCCATCACGTGTTGTCAAGAGGAAGCTTCGCGCTTAAGATCCACAACATGTCGGCCCTTGGCCTTGCTTGCTTGCCCTATAATGCATCCATTCCGACAACTAGCTGCAAACATGTAGGAATTAGGGCTCTTTTTGCCAGGTACACGCCAGCAACGGTGGAAGACTACAAGCAACGCTTTGGCAAGAAAGCTGAGTATTCCGAGCTTGGGCGGGAGACTGAGTTTCAAGTTGGGGCCTGGATCGTCATGCACCGCGAAGATAGGCGGTCAACTTCCTGCGTCGGTCAAAGTCTAGGTTTGACATGTAAGTTGAATGATGCGCAATGGCACTTGACACATGCTCGGATTCCCTCGGAAGAAATTCTTGCGTGACGGGACCCAGGATCTCAGGCTTCAAATGGCTTGCCCAGGCGCTTAGGGCCAGACCTCGATGACGAGGGCTTGTTGATGAAGCGGGCGATCCAGGAGAAGGTGGCCTTTGTCTCCCTGTGGGCAACATTGGCTTCGCAGGTCTCAAAGGGTCATGTGGTACTCATAGCATTACTTTACGCATGACTTGGCAGACATTCTCTGCCCTAGCATACGTATCGTTTAGGGAGCATGTTATGCTTTGCACATGTGCGACATTTATGCAGAGTTGCAAGCTGCGCAGGTGAAGCAGTTTAGCAAGGAGCTGCACCGGGTAAACAAGACGCGCGCAGAGAAGGTCCCCCCGCGGGGAGGCCCAAGACCAAAGCCCCATTCTGGACCTGAGTAATATGTTTCCGGTCCACGTGGCCTTACAAGAGGGGGAGCCCGGCGCCAGGGCCCCCCCCCCGATCTTCCAAACGCCTCAAAGGCCAGGCTGTTGCAACACGCTGAGGACGCAGAAGGCTGAGCCAAAGATAGAGCTCCAAAAGGGCAAGACGGCGAGAGACAAGGCGTCTTGCTCTGGGTGGCACCTATGGAAGCGAGACGCACTGGGAATTTCGGGTCGCAAGTTTTTACTCATGTGCTTTGAAGCGGGGCACTCTTTCTTCATTTTTGGCACCACCAGCTGATAGAAGTTGTTTGTAGGGTGAGCAATTTCCTTCCTAGAGCGGCTGAGCTGTTTCGAAAACCATTTTCAATGTGGAGGCTTGCAGGTTTGATTGACCTGGCCGCTTGCCCGTTGGACTCGCAGTCTGCCAAGTAGCTACGAGGCCCAAAGTAGGTTTTGAGACTGCAGCTTGGCAATGATTTCGGAGCATGACGGGGCCGAGAGCCAACCACGCTTTCCAGTTGATGCATGGCATCACAACCAGCCGCTGTTGCATTCCGTTTCTCGTCGCAGACTGTGTGTCCAAGGGATGGTCTTGTTTAAAAAATATTGAGGCGACCACGCTTATCCCAACAAAAAAGCTTAGAAGAGATCTTCGGCATTTGTGCAGCAATGACTTGGCGTGGTCTACCTTTGCTCGGCTGGCTCTTTCATGTGCGCATGGTGCTTTCAAGCCACCATGAGGCATGACTCGTTGCAGCCAAGCGTGGATGGGCCTCAACGCCCTAGGGTGTCGAAAGCGGGGAGACGGCCGGACGTCTTCCACCACTTCGCGGCGATCAAAGCGCATCAGAAGGGCCGTCGTTGGCACAATGCAGTCTGCTCGTTGAATCAGATGATGGCTTCGGGCGTTGAGCCCGACGCATTTTGCTGCAGCTCTGTCATGATCGCTTTCTCTGATACAAAACGGTGGCGACAAACCTTGATGCTCTTGGATGGCATGCCACTGCGCCACGTTACTCTGGATGATGTGTGCTACAGCACTGCCATTCGCGCTTGCCAGCGGGCCGCCCAGTGGCAGCAAGCCTTGGAGATGTTGCAGATGCACGTGCCCGACGTTGTGACTTGTGGTGCCGTCATGGGTGCCTGTGAAAAGTGTGGCGAATGGCAGATGGTGCTGGCCTTGTTGCGGGAAATGGTCCGTATGCAGCCACGGCCAGATCTGATCAGCTACAATATTGCCATCAGTTCTTGCAACATGGGCGGCAACTGGCACATTGCCTTGGCATTATTGGCGGAGATGTGCGGCCTTTCACTGACACCATCAGCCACCAGCTGCAACTCTGCCATCACAGCCTGCGAGCGGCGCAGCGTTTGGCCGGCGGCACTGAGGCTTTTCTCCTCCATGGGGCCCTCCCGCATCGAGGCGGATGAGATCAGCCTCAACGCTGCAACCAGTGCCTGCGCTAGAGGTGGGGTTCCCATCACAACACTTACCCTTGTCAAGTACTCGTTCCGAAGCATCCGTATCAGCTCCCAATGTCGTGCTTCTCTGAAAGCCAGCATGCAGAATGCACATATCGCAAGCCCTCTGCCCCCTGCGCAGAGTCGCACAAACCCCATCACACCACGCGAGGAGGGCAGTGGCTGCCGGCCCTTCGGCTCAGCGACGGCGGCGGCGCCTCTAACGCCGCGGTGAGCGCCTGCGCCCGGGCCGGCGTCTGGAGCTTCGCGCTGGACCTGGCGCTGGCTATGGCAGCGGCACGGACGGCAGACCAGGCGACCTTCAACGCGGCAGCCCCGCGGTCCGGAAACAACGGCTAGGCATGGTACAGGCAAAGCCACGGCAGGTTCCACAGCAGGTTCTCTTTGGGGATGAACGGTGTCTGGGATCTGCTTGCAGTGATTCAAGGACCGCATCAAAGGGGTAAAATGGGGCGGCAGAGGCGGAGAGATCGTGCTCAAACCACAACCTCTTTTGCAACTGTTGGAGGGGCAGCAGTTTTTGCCTGCCCAATCTGCCGAATCCGCCAATTTTGCTTAGGTAGCCACATGTAGAGAAAAGAAGAACCATCCGGTGAGTTTGTCGTTGTTGGCAGTTTTACATGTCCAAGCTGCTTGTTTGTTGTTTGCGAGGGCGTTGTTTTGGGTAAGCGTTCCGCCATAGTGGGATTGGCTCAAACGGGGCTAAGTCTTGAGTGGTTTGTGGCTTTGGTGGGTTGGGTTGGGTGAGATGGAGTATGGTGGAGTGGTTGGTTGTTTTTTTGGTTGGGCAGTCGCTGGGTTGGTTGTTCCATTCAGTCTGGACTTGACTTTGGTTGGTTTGGGGCTGGCCATCCAAGGTAAGCTCCTTCGAGCACAGCGCTGCCTGGGCACATGGCCTGGGCCTGTTCACTGCTCTTCGGCTGAGTCGGGTGGGTTGATATTGAAGAGTTGCCTTGAAATGAGTTTACACCTTACACCTTGCAGCAAAACATGGATTCAGAGAAGCAACACTTGTGAGAAGCAGGCCCGGGAAGTCTCCGTGTTTTCGCGCATATGCGCGTGCACGCCGAATTCCATGCGCCCAAGGAGATGCTGCGTGTGCAGCAGGTGCCTGGGGGTGTGCATGCGGGCACCCTGGCGCATGCCATTCTCCAGCACGAGTCGGAGGCCGAGCGTTTGGCTTCACCTTTTCGTAATGCAGCGAACCAGGAAAACAATTCGCTTTCGTATCCATGGCCTTAAAGTGCAGCCGGCCGTGCCGCGCTCGTGTTTTTGACGATTGGATGAAGCTTCGTGCAAAACCATCAGTTTGGCATTGCTGGTTGGACTTCGGGCGTGTCAGCCGCATTGATTTTCGACCCATTGCCCTATGGTGTGACCCAGTCTGAGAAAAACCAACAGATTTAGTAGCCTGTGTTTTCAATGTGTGTCATGGGCTTCGTTGTGGTTCGGCAGGGCGCCGCTTGGGACTTTCTTGAGAAGATGAAGGCCATGTGGCTGGACCTACATGGCACTTCACCAGAGGCAGCTGGCGCGCCCTCGGCCTTGCCACGGGTGCTGAAAGCGGGCAACGGAGTTTTGGCCTTCTTCAAGCCGGCAGGCTGGGCCGATGCGCTGTATGTTTGTTCTTCCAATCGATTTTTCAGGCTTGCCCATCCAACGGGTTTCGACCGGCCACAACTCGCAGGCTAGCCATAGCTTATCATAAATCTTCTCAAGCGTTGCTTCAGCGTCAGGCCTCACCACGGATGAGCTGCTGGCAGCGCATCCGGGTTTCCACGTGGTGTCCCGTCTGGACCAAGGCACCAGCGGTGTGCTGCCTGTGGCCGTCGGCCTGGGCTCGCCCGCCGCCTTCTGGCTGGAGGCCCAGTTCGCCGGACGGCTGGTGCAGAAGGACAGGTCTGCAGCCTTGTCTTAGCTGCTGGGCTTGAGACGTCTTGGGACCTCTGCTTTTTGAGCCTGAACTCTGACATGCGGCCGCTTTCTTTTTGGACTGCTCGTGCTATGCTGCAAGGGGTCATGCATTTTGGTTAGTTGCTTATTTGGCTTGTTTGGGAGGCATTGCGTTTAATATGCTTGTGTTTGGTATGGGTGTCTGGCACGGGCATTTTGGTCATTGTTCCAGGGAGGTGGCTGTGCGTTTCAGTTGATGGAATGCACTGCCGACACTCCAGGGAGTACATTTGTTCGTTGTTTTCTTCTTTTTTTTCCTCTTTGGGGGGGAGGATGGATAATACGTCTGCTCCGCGGCTATGGGGGCGATCGTGTTTGGTGAAACCCACGACAACCAGGGCCGACCACGGCAGACAGCTTGTGAAACTGGTGGTGGCCAGAACCTCCTGACATTGGACCTGGTTCAGTGGCGAATCCTTGCCCCCGTGCCCATTGAATATACCCTTCGGATCACCTCAGATTCAGTGTCGGGCATTTAGAGGAACGCCACCTACAAGAACACCAAGCACATAGAAAGGATTTTGGCTTTGAGACAAATCCATGTCGGTCTCCTTTTGGAAACAAGCCCAAACCCCTCAACGCAGCTTAGGCAGCTTGGCAACGAAGCACATGGAGACACTGCTGCTGTCTGACTTCCGCCAATCTACATTTGCGATGATTATTTTCTCAGGCTGGCCACAAACGAATGGTCATGACTCATGACTCATAAATCTGTCGCCTAAAGCCATGCTGGCTGAGCTTAGCTGCGGAGAGCTTGGGAGGGCTCACCAGGCCGCTTGCTCTTGGTTTCCAAGCATAGTGAGTCATGGGCCCCAACACCCGGTCATTCTCCGCCCACCACCATCCAGCGGGTCTCGCCAAAGCACACGTAACTGACCTGACCGCTGGGTGCATGCATCTTTGGGAATTGGGACTGCGGTTGTCATCAATCATTTCACACCTATGTCCAGGCATACAGCTTCCCACGAGGGAAGCTGTGATCATGGGAACTCTGCCCATCGACCCTGGGATTTTGAGACGTTCCAAGCGGCCCCTGCGCTCCAGGAGTACATCTGCCTCTGCGAAGGTGCCGCGCCGGAGGAGGCGGAGATTGACGTGCCGCTGGGCACTGCGCCCGGGACTGAAACGCAGGAAGTGACTATGGCGCGGGTGGGGTGGCAACTCTTTCATGAGGGGCGGTGTGACGGTGTTTGGGGCATTGTTGGGGCGTGTTGGGGCTTCGATGTTTGGGCTGGACTGGTCGGCTATGCATGTCTGCTGTATACGCAAGCTTCCCTTGCCCGAGGCGGGTACAAATCAAAACGAGGCGCCGGATCGCCCAAGTGTGAAGTGCCGAAGTGCCTGCTCTTTGAGAAACGGCTCCCAAGCACACAATGACAAGTGCGCCTGCCAAGTAAGCCCCTGCTACAGTCAGGCACCACGCAGCAAATCTTGATAAGCACAACAAATGATTCTTAGAGACGTATAGAGGTTATAGGCGCATACAGAGTCAGAGGTGTGAAACTTAAAACAGTGGCTGGGAGCAACTTCCAAAATGAGGCTTTTGGTATAGAGGCTAGAGGCTTAGAAACGAGGCTGGAAGGAGCCTATTCCCAACGAGGCTTCCTATCAGCTGGACGCATGCTTTTTTTCCCGGTCCCGTTGGCAAAGGGTCGCCCTTCCCCAAGTTGTTTGCTTTTGGGTTGGGGTTTGCCGTGCTTGCTTAAGATGCCAGCCACGACGCTTTTCTTGGGAACTGCCCCTTGCCAAAAGCCGTTGTTTTGCGTGCTGTGCCTGGGTTGAAATTACTGTTTGGAAGCCACGCGCCTTCATTGACAAGGTTCCCGTGTTCCCTTTCGAATGTGGGAATCAAGGTGAACTGAGGGGACGAGAATTGGGCCTTCCAAGCTTGACTAGAAAATTCAAGGGCAGTGAGCCAAGCAACGTGCTGCTCTCAAAGTCGCAGCCGGCCAGCTCAAGCAGCTTTGTGCATTGGAAACGTCCGTCTTGCTTGCAGCTGTGCATCGTCAATGCATATTTCCAATGGATCATTAGCCGGACTTGTTGCGGTCTCCAGGGCACGGCGTGAGCAGTACTGGTGGTACCTGGGGGCATAAACACATTTGGTGAAACTGCCACCCGAACAGGCCAAAATCCTCAGTGAGTGGCGGAGGAAGGAAGCCTGAGTGGGCACTTTTCCTTACTCCTCGCATACATCGATGCGTGAATACATGCAGCATGAAGGACACAATATAGTAGACAGATAGATCAACAAGCACATTAGCATAGATTTACATCAAGCGAATGAACCCATAAACCCATACTACACAAACTCTGCATGCATGCATCACACACGTCTACATCCATATGTAGAGGCCAGGGCATGTTCACTTGCTGCGCACACAGTTGTGGGAGGTGGAGATGAAGCCCGGCAGCTTCCACAGTTTTGTGGCCCCTGATGGGCGGGTGGCCCTGACACGGTTCCAGCGCCTGGCGCTTTACACCGCGGGACCTCGGCAGGTGCCGGCGACCAAAATCGCGGGTAAGGCAGCGATGGGGGCCTAGTGGCAACCTATCGGGATTGTTAGGGGTTGTGGGTCACACCTATTCTTCTTCTGTGAGGCAACTGCTTTTGGTGGTAGGTTCTTGGGTTCTGAGTTTGGTATTCTAGGTTTACTGGCGGATCAAGGGTTGCTGACGGTGTTTAGCTCAGGAATTGTTTTGTCTTGGGCGACCGCACGCCAGTTTCAACTTGCTGGGTGCCACCCGGTTGTTCCTCTTGCTTCCCTGCAGGTCTCCTTGCTGCGAGTCTTCCCGAAGACTGGCCGGAAGCACCAAATCCGAGTGCACTTGGCCCATTTGAACCACCCCATCGTCGGGGATTGGGCCTACGGGGCGCGAGAGGCCTCCGCCCTGCTCTGCCCAAGGCTCTTCCTGCACTGTCGTTCCATCACTTTGCGGACCATTAAAAACGCTCAGTTCACGGCGGAAGCTGACTTGCCCCCTGAGCTGGCGCAGGTTGTGGAGTGGCTGACGCTGCAAGAAAAACTTGCGCAGAGTGCAGCCTTTGGCGGGTACGGGGCGGGATCAAGTTGGGTAGGACAACGATGTTGCTTTGAGGGCAGGCATTCTGATGCAAACTGTTGCGCCGCGAAGTTATGTAACCCTATGAGATCAAGAGGCAACAGCATCATTGCAATTTCACAACCTACGGGTAACATGCATACCTTAAGCGTTGTCAACTATCTGCCTCTTGCACTGGAAGTAGCGCTGAGCGCGCACACTTTTTGCTCTTCGCTTGGATAGCAATTCAAAGCTGGCATTCATTAGCTGTAGCTATGTTGTTGGCTGCGATGGGCTGTGGTTGTGTGGCATGCCAGGCCAAAGAATTCGCGAAGAACGTCCCGAAGCCCAAGCCCGCTCCAAAGCAGGTCTGGCACCTAAGGTCCCAGCAGGCGGCAACATACTGGAGATCTTTTGCTTGAAAGGCAACGCCCGTTCGCGACATTCACTGGACCTTTGAGGGCCTCCCCCAAGGCCCTTGGCGGACGTCCCCGGCCAACCAGCTCAACCAAGCACAGCTGCCGCTTTGCCACTTTGACACTTGGAACAGGTGGTGCTTACTCCGTCCCAGCAGGCGGAGGAGGAGGTGCAGGAGAAGTCGCAGGCCCGGTTGAAAATCGTCAGGCGGCTTGCCATGGATTCAGTTTGGCAGGCGTTTGTTTCACAGCAGCTGCTTGCTTTGGTATGGCCTGGCTGTCATTCGTATCTGCCTGCGCTGTCTCTCCTGGCGTCTCCCCTCAAAACTAGCAGTGCTCGGCCTCAGCTTTACACGCCAACCCAGTGGAAGCCCTGCCCTTGTCTTGGCTTCTGATTCTCGTTGGAATGAGATCGACGTTGGCACATGCGAGACATGCAAGCAAAGGCGCCAACATTTTTGTTTGTGTGTGTGTGTGCGTGATTGTTTTGCTTTGCGACTTTCCCAATTTGTATATTTGCCAGTTTTACGTAACTTCGCATGAAGTGAGATTTACCGCCAACACGTGCCTACCTGCAGGAGGCGGCAGACTGGGACGAAATCAGGCAAGGAGGGCATATGAGGGCAATTCAGGGCATTTTTGCGGGCGTATAGAGTGAATGCTGCCAATTTGGCAATGATCCTTGGCAGCTCTTCCCTGATAAGTTGTACCTCAGCGCTCAGTGAACACGACAGCGAGTCAGTGCGCCACACAGACGCGGAGGGGTCGAAGGGTCGCGAGATACAGCAGTCGTGTAGGAGATTTTGTCAGGAGGGATTAGATATATTTTTTACAATTTGACAATACTGAGCCAGCGCGCGCGGTGAACCATTCTGTGATTTGAAGTTATTTTAACATTTGAGGGGGGGGTGGGGAGAGGGTTATTGACATGGTGCTTGAGGCGCCGTGAGCGGCAGCATTTCGAGGATGCTGCGAGAGTAGCAGATGTGAGGCAATTCTTAGCGAGGCTCGCAGTCTAGTTGGTCGGGTCGAAACGGCCTAGTTCACTGGGCCTCGCAGGCAAGCAAAACCCGAACACGTTTGGCAAGATCTCGTAAGAATAAAAAGCTTGGTCCAGAGTGGTGCCCTGCCACTGTACAGAGCGGCTGGCATGTGGAATTCATCCGTCTCACTGCCAAGTGCAAGTCATCACATGACCGCCGGCGCCCAGCAAAACTAGCATGTGGACGGGTCTTGTGCCCTGCTATCTAGATTGGCTGACCTCGCCCGCAAGGACACGTGCAATAAGTTTGCGCAGTGTGTGGTTGGATGTGGGCACCGTAGCACCTTGGTCGTGGTGCTTGCGAAGGCTCTGGCCAGCTTCCGTTTGCTGAAGCCTGTAGCCTTAGAGTCAAGTAGCCCTGCAGGAGATTTGCGCCCAGCGACTCATTACCAAGTGATTTGCCTTGGCAGCATCCTTTGGATGGACCCAGATGAAACAGCGCAAGCCCACAGGACGTTGGTTTTTCTGCAAACGGCGGGCCACCAGTCCCCTCCACACTGGGGCGGGTGCCATGGAGCACCTCCCAGCAGCCAGGCCATGACATATGAGAGCCAGAATCACTTTACTGGAAACAGCGCTGAATTGACTGGCTTGTTTGAATTCCTCACTTGGGTCGTGTGGGGCCACTTTAGAGGTGGGCACTTTAGAGGTAGTTGTGCCCAAGATGTTGAGCTCTCTGTTTCGAAATTGTGCCTTGAGATCCAGAAGGCCCAGAAGCCTTTGCATTGCGTTACACTGCCAGGGCTCGGCAGCCCCTGGCACAGCCAACGCTGGTGCAGCCGGCAACAGGGCACCCTATCCTGGCACGGCGCCGACGTGATGGAGGCATGCCAGAGTTATGGAACTTGGAGCTTGGTTGGCGCTCGGCAGGCTTCGATGCACGCGGCGCAAGTGCGGCTCTAGCCGCGGCTGGCCTTCTGGGCGCACCTGCGCCTTGACCAAATCCAAGATGCGGAGTGCAACCAACTTGAATCCCCAGCCGCACGGATAGCAAGGTGAGGCAACAACTGTTTTAATGTTCAAAGTTTTTGGCAGGTGATGAGGACCCATCGCACAAGCTAGGCCCTTCTCCATACCCCCGCAACAGATCAACAGCTCGGATCTGAAATCGTTTCTGATCAAGGCGCTCCATACCTGTAGGCTTGTGTCCTATCTTGGTGCGACCCTGCACCAAATCTGAACTCAATTGCACCTAGTTCTGGCGCCAGCGAGCACGACGGCTCGTCCGCTGTGCAGGCTGGTATGCAGTTTTTCGGCCGCTTCAGAAGTGCTTGAGTCATCAGGCCGTTGAGGCCATGCTTTGGTCCCCCTCGTTCCCACATTTTCTGCCCAACTTGGCTTGCTCTGCAGGCGAGGCCAAGTGGATTGATGGCCTGCAGGACATCGCCGCACACTTGGTTCTGACGCAAGGCTTTTGGTCAATCCGAGCGTAGAGCTCTGCGTTCTATTGTCAAACCTCGTACAGTCCTCGGCTTGCAGCATCTGAGTCGAGGCGAAGGACTACGATGCCCGGCGCCCCGGGATTGCCAGCCAAGCCCATGGCACGTGACATTTGTTGTCACTACAGTCTGCGAGCGCCTGCGCCAACTTGAGGCCTTCATTTTCGACTTGCGTGGGCCTTGTTGTGTGGCCTTGGCCCGCCAGTGCCAGTGACCATGTCGCGACCAGAAGATTGTCAAGCAACCTGGATATGGGGACGCATGAAAGGGTATTTACAATCCTCAGCCCATTGAAACGGTTGCCAAGCCGGGAAAACCTGCAGGTGGGGTGTGGTGCACAACGGACGGGTGGCTTTCCCATGGGCCAGAACCACCCTGGAGGAGCTCAAGCGGCAAAGGCGGGGACACGGCCTTCTACCGGTTGAGTGCGCGTCAATTCGGTTCAAGGCGAGCCTCAATTGGTGAGCTAACAAGGTCGGTTCGAAAGTTCGAGCATGTTGAACAAACAAGTGCCCTTGCGGTGCTTGGAGTTTGGCTGAGATTTTTAGTTTTCGAGTTTCGGATCTTGTTGCCCTGACTGGACCCTTTTCAGGGAATGCCGAACGGAGCAAACACAAGGCCATTCTAGATTCTAGAGCCCGCTGTGTGTCAGAAGAATAGAAGGCTCCTTGATTGATTGTGAGTAGGGAGCAGGCTCCGCAAAATCGCTCATCAGCCAGACGAGTTTCCCCAGCTGGATTCTGTTGCGTCACGTTGCAGTGAGCGCACGGTGAAAAACCGCAAAGTGCCGCACTTCAGCACAGACTTTAAAACATTCAATCCGACAGGCAGGTCCAGTCACAAAGGCCTGGGTAGTTCGGAATTCTGAGCCCCCAGGCCTTTCCTCTGGGGTGAAAGGGCTTTTCTTGGAATTGAAAGACTCGCCGCGAGCACAGCATGGGCTCTGGACTCTAGAGCCATGGACGAGTCTGGTGCGGGTGTGGTGATGCTTCCCTCCTCCAAGTTTTGGCCCAGTGAGCCGGGTGGTCCACGATCAGCGCCTGCCCGGAGCTGCGACAGGGAAGCGGAGGCCGAGGCAGGCGTGGACGGAGCGATCTTGGTAGCCCGTTCTGCCCGTGTTGGAGGTGAAAGGAACCAGCTAATAAGGTGAAGCAATCTCGGTGTTTTAGAGGTGAATTCCTGGTGCATGAGAAGCGCCGGCTTTGTCTGGCCATTTGAATCCCAGCAGGCAGGCGTAAACAAGAGGAGTGAAAGACAACCTATCGAGAGCAGAGCAACTGGATAGCACCCTTTACCAGAAAGCCTGCACTGCAAGCCGCCGAACGACAAGAGTGCAGCTGTTGAAACCTGCCTGCGGCGGTAGGAAGCACGTACACGTATATTCCAAGTTTGGGTCACGTCAATGTAAATTTCGCGCACCTATACATCACCAAGTGCAAGACTACCCCCCCCAAAGCCACCCCCCCCCCAAAATCATAAGGCAGTCTCTGTCTTGCTGAGCATATTCGGGGCCAAACTGGGGGCTCAAATGAGGCATTGCACCCACAGCAGGGCTCAGCAATTAGCGACAGAAGCTGTAGTGAGGCCTGCGGACAAGCCGAATTACGCCGTTTTGGCAAACTTGCTTAGCTAGGCTTAATTAAGCTTAATTAGGCTTAATTAGGCTCAATTAGGCTCAATTTGGCCCAACTACTTTTGCCAGCCCCAACATGATCTTAACTTCTTGGGGGGGGGAGGGGGGAGGTTTGCACTTGGTGAATACAGTGTACATAGTTCGTGCTCTTGCTGTTCCAAGGATTTTCGGGTACCTTATCCCAGACTCCAGGCAGATACTGGCCCGCCCTTGCCCAGGAGCCTAAGGTGAAGTTTGACTGCTTCAGTCTGGAAGGTCGGGTGGGATCACAAATTGCATCATTTTGAGTTGACATTTGTCCCGAGCAACGTGTTCCACTCCAAAAGTCGAACGAGCTTGGTTCTGGTTGAAGTGATCTTTTGCAGGGCCTTCGGGCTGGACGGATGAGTACGGCCTTCACCCAAGCAGTTTTCTTTGGCAAGGCGTCACCAAGATGCTTGGCCAATCCAGTCGTTTGATCCGCTAGGCTGTTTGGTGTGTTCTTGGCCGTGCTGTTGTTGGCTCGCAGTATTGAGAGCCTTGTGGTTGGCCCGTGTCTGCGTCAGGATGATGATTCGTCACGTCCCGTTGCGATGCCAGCAGGAGGAGGTGGATCGCATCATCCAGTTGGTCACGCCCAATTTCCAGACGCAGATGCCTAGGTCCTCAAGCAGCAAGTGCAAAGGCTACGCCTTTGTGGAGGTAGATAGCCCGGCCACCATGCAACGGGTGGCCGAATTCTTGTGGCAGGCAAAGGTCCCTACGCGACACAGCAGCAGGCCACTGAAGATTCATCCCGCAAATCTTCAAGCCAAACGTTTGAGTCTTTGAGAAGAGGCACCTGTGATAATTACGTGAGAGCCAGCTTATTTTCCGGTCATGCTAGTACTAACTACCAATAGACCCGCACGACGAAGCACCTATCTATATCGTTCTTGGGAACATTCTATGCATGTTGTGAGTTTCCTTTCAGGATGCTTCATGCGGGTGAGCAGGCAGGGGCCTTTTTTTTTGCGAATTTCTTGCGTCAGGCTCATTTCAGATCTGATCGAATCGCCGTGCACGCAAGATTCCTTGAGTCTGATTTGTCATTTCCGAAGCGAGTATGTGAGCCACAGAGTCCGTGATGGCATTGGTGCCAGCTTGCAGGCTGTATTTTTTTCGAGCTCAAGCATAATGTTCTGGTAGCAAGCACGACGCTGAGCACCCTGCCATCACTTGTGAATCCTGACTCTACGGAACGCTCATTACCCTCGGATGACGTGCGGCCTTCTTGAAGGATCCCGCAAGCTTAATGGCTAGCACCGCAGCAAAGAGCCCGAAGGCTCGTCTTGATTTCGAGGCTGTGGTCTGCGCGTGTCAAGGCCTGCCCTAGGCGCTCAATTGAGCGTTCTACCTCGAGGAACAGCAAGGTTTGCATAAATTCAGAGGGCAGAAGCGTGCGGCAATTCGCACGGGATGTGAGATTCAAGAGCCGGCACTGGAAATGCGGACAACCATAGCTCAAAATTGGAAAGCAACGCACCCAGCAAATTCAAGCATGGGCCCGCACGCCCAGACGCCCACCCACCGCACCCGCACTGCACCCGCACCCCCGCACGCCCCCGCACACGCACACGCACACGCACACACACAGACACACAGACACACAGCCACACAGCCACACAGACACACAGACACACAGAGACACACAGAGACACACAGACACACACAGACACACACAGACACACACAGACACACACAGACACACACAGACACACACACACAGACACACACAGACACACACACAGACACACACAGACACACACAGACACACACAGACACACACAGACACACACAGACCACACACACAGAGACACAGAGACACAGAGACACA